TTCCGTTCGGAGCCGCTCGATTGCCAGTCGTACGGTCGTCGCGCGCGCACACGTCTTCTCATCCGCCGCAACAACTCGCTCGCTCGCACGCCGCCACCGCCGTCGCCGTCGCCGTCACCACCGCCACCGCAGCCAACGCCGCCGGCACCGCCACCGCCGCCGACGCCGACGCGTCACCGTGCCAGCGAGCGCCCGCCGCCCGCTTCACCGTAGCACAGCTGTGCGCGGAGTCGCCCGACGACCGTCCCGGTTGTGTGTCCGCACCGTGTCCCGTCGCGCCGACCGAACACCGAACGATCACCGAATCGCGTCCGAGCGAATAAAAAAAGATAATCAGTCTCGCGGCAAGTGCGCGCGCGTGCGGTACCCGTGTCGCGCAATATATTAAACGAATAATATTCCAAAACACCGTCCGGGGTACATTGTCGCGGTTTTACCGGTTACCGGGAACAGGAAAGAGGCCGGTAAGATCCGGGGGACCGGCAGCAGCAGGCAGCGGGATTGCGATCGAGCGCAGTCGAGTCCGAGGACCAGCAGCATCCGGCGACCCGCGAGGCACATGTACCGTTGGTAATGGGCAAGAAGGGCAAGAAGACTAGATGGCGAGAGCTGCCCATCACCCTAGGTGAGTCCGACGGGCGGGTCACCGGTACCATCTGGTACGCGGAATTTACCGGTACAGGGACTGCGCGCGCCCTGGCCGCATCGTACGTCGTCCCGCGGTGTACGCCCATCGTCGCGTACCGGCCGCGGAACTGCGTCGCATGCCGTCCCGGTACCCAAGCACCCGAACGATAACCGGTTCTTTCGCCCGCCCTCACTACTTCGTTTATCGATTATATTTTGTAGCCCTTAACCCTTTCGCTTCGACACGTCGTAAGATATGTACGACCGAAACGTTTCGAAAACGCTGCACTGCGCGTTACGGTCATCTGTGTTCGTAGGTTCTCGCAATACGGACAAGTTGAACGAGAAGAGGACTCCGTACAAATACGGACTTGTCATCGTCATTTTTGTTGTTTATCGAACCGCGTGCACGTAACTCATCATTCGTTTTCCAGGCGACAGCGGTGTTATCATCCTGAAAGTTTTTACTACACCGTTATCGCCGATCGAAACAACACACTTACGCGTGCTGCTTAGACCGTAGCCCAAATATTTCACCGTCGACCGACTCGCGTTTTGAAAACCAACAGTGTTCTCGTTCCGATTTCAAGCCACCGTTCGAATTCGGCTCGAGTGCCATGTACCTACACGCAGGACATTCGAATCCTTCCCACGTACCGGTCCGTTGCAATTTTCCAATCCGCGTGTTGCACGGAAGTATTCAGCTATCACGTGAGAGACCTGGCGCGGCTTACCTACGAATCGATCCACCATCGTTGATAAAAATTACGTAGGAAAGAACAGGGGCCAGATTAACCGCGTAGTTAATAATACTGGAGCGTTAATAATACAAACTTTGAGTCGCGACGTAGTTTAAAGTAACGAGAAAACCACGGCTGGGTGGAAAAACGATTGGACGAAATTCAATAAAATAACATATTTTTTATTTATGGTAAAACGTTTAAGAACCGTACGCGTTTTGAATACTGGCCACCCACCAGCATGTAATATAATTCAGATTATTTTCGTAGATTTATAATTTTATAATTTTATAATTTATGGAATTGTAAAATCGACTAATTACGTCGGTAAAAAAAAAATTATTAACACTGAAATATACTTTGAAAATTAAAATTAAAAAAAAAAATCAAATCTTTACAATAATTCGGGTACTCCACATTATAACACCATGTTCTAACCTATACGCAATTGTAAACTGTTACGTAAACTCAAAAACAACGTGGACGCTTTGGATAATGTAATTAGATAAATTATCGATGTATACTTGAAGGCGTCATAAGACCTTCAATATCTGCGATCAGGCAATTGATTGACCGGTTGACAAATGGGAGGGTGGCAAGGTAGTAGGAATTGACGTTCGTACAGCAGAAACCGTTTACCGCAATTATTTTTTACACGACGTACAATTATATCTATTGATATTGCAACTAACATATCGTGTAGCGGCACGCAAGTTTCGATTCAAGTATGTCGTATTGGATAATACGACTATTTTTACAATTTTCTTCAATTCAATATCGATATAAGTAGTTTCTATTGTACCAAAATCTAAAGACGCACCGGTACACGTGTTAGTGATCATCGCCTGTCGTTTCTGTTCATAATGACTCTTTTTATGTGTCTATACAATGCTTGGTAAGAGACGCGTTTATTCGGGTGAATGTAGAGCCAACAAAGTAAAAGAGTTTACGTAATCCATTACGAATTTCCGCCGTAAAATCGCCTTTTTACGACCTATACCAGGACCTGCCGAGTAAAACTGTTAGGTTATGTACGTGATAACCTAACAGAACCGGCTGGCCGCGGCACGGATTGTAATTGTCCTTTTTTTCCTTTTTTTTTTTTTACATCGCAAACAATACCGTTTAGACCGACATGGTCGCATGATGTCGAACCATTGTGCTCGTCACTCGCTGTCGTGCACAGTTTCTAATTATGCAGGCGAAATGTGTACATTTAAATGACGTAACAATATCCGATACTCGCGGGGACGTTTACAAAACTAAATTAAAATAAGTAACAACGTGATCTGACCTTTATATTTTATGGTAACAATCGATGGCATTTTTAGACTACAAGATTTACAAGAACCTCTGTTGGACAAACAACGACTTAATATCGTACCAATAGGTCGACCGCGATAGGGCTCCCTAGCCATGGCTCTACAACTTTCCACGCAGTGATTCGTTTTCCTACGGACACAGTCACGATTTTCATTTAACAAACTTGCTCACAATATACGTAAAACATTAACATTAAATCACATTGACTTAAAACCGAAGGTATTATAAGCCCACTCAGCGGCGGCGGTATCACGTGCATATGTTACGTTGTAACGATTGGTCACTGGACTATACATTTGAGTACAACGTGGTATATACAGTGCAAGACGCGTATATAGAAAAAGCGGTTCACCAACTCTATCCACGACACAATTGACATTTTGTCTGATGAACAATTTAATATAGTATAATATTATTTATTATTATTCGTCGTCATTGTCGCGAAGCGGAGGTGTATTAAACGATCGCGGAGACGCGACGAGAAGTCGAGCGAAAGTGTTTTCTATTATTTTCTTTTTTCCATCCACGATTCAATGGCCTCCGGTCTCCGTTATTGCTGTTATTTTAATTTCAAAATTAATGTATGGAAATAAAATGTATCATACAGTAATACGACGACGACGATCTACGAGGCGTTTTATTCGCCTATCACGCAGTGTCTCACTTCTCGTTTCAAACGCGCGTGTACAAACCCTATGTATAGCCAATATAACATAGCCATATAGTCATCATGTTGCCAAAACGATTATAATTTTTCGATATAAACTTTTAAATTACGCCCAAAAGACCATGAATTCCTAGGCAATAACATATTCATAAAGGAATAAAACGTCAGATTATCATAATATTTGTAGGTAGGTATCGATGAAAACATTTTGTTTTATGGTTTCAAAATTTTTATAATAATATAACAAACACGCGAGACGTGTTTTATTGCAATCGAGTACAAAAATATAATTCACCACATGACGAAATATAAAACGTACATTTCCTAGCGTGACAAGTTGTACCTACTTGTAATAATACCAATCATTTAAAACTGTCGTTTAAAACGTTTATGCGTTAAAAATAACAATCGCTTAATTAATATACGAGTTTTCAAAATGCTTATTAACCCTTATTAATACTAACGCTATACTATATATATTAACACAACTAACATACTAACATTGGGCGTTTTCATGGTTTTACGGATTAAACAAATCGTTTTAAAATATATGTGTGTTCAACTAACATACACTAACGACGGTTATGGTTAATTATTCTTCCTTGCTTCTTTATCTATACACCTATAATAATATGCACAGCGTACACGTAATTATAATAATAATAATGAAACTCGAGATTCTCTTTGTGGGTAGTAAAATTCTAAGAAACGTTGCCAAAGTCTCTTAGGGGTTAAAAACATCGAATTCGACTCTCGATTTTTCGCCAGTGCACAGGGAAACGTTACGATTTTCAATCGAGTCGAGAATACGTATCGTCGATGTTCGCTCAATGATAAGTTGCAATAGTTTCACTTTCGTTTCGAAAAAAATAATCGCAACCGAAAACGTCGATAGCCACACTCACTACCGCGTACGCGGTTTCACATCGAAATGTACCCGCCTGTACCGCCTGTTTAAACGTATATTTAAACGCGCCCCAAGGATAATAATTGTTTGGCTTGGCAATACCGTAGGCAAGTATTAGAGGACTGGAAGGGGCGGCGGCGGCGGCGGCGGTGCAGCGCTCGCTGTTAGATCGATTTCGTTGTGTGCAGCAATAGCGTCGCGGCCGAAGCTCGTATTGCCGAGAATCTCAATCGTTTAACGCGCAAAGGTCAAAGAAGCCCTTTGGAATATAATTAAATTGTTATCGATTTCCTTACCGTCTGATACGATGCATACACCGCACACGCACACGGCAACGTGTATCCATTGATATATCCGGTCAGTGTTGATTACGGCGATACCGATTCATTGCCAGCGTCTCCCTTTATTTTCCAACGGTTTACGGTTACGCGCGAATAATCGAACTGTTACCGGTGTGCACAACCAGCGCTCGACTTGATGGGGGACGCAGGGGGACAGAGTACCCCTTCTAATTTTTAGGAATTTTAGCGTCCCCCTACTATTAACACGTTATAATTATAACGCTTAACAAGTTTTGTGGAGGGACGCAATTTTTTTTTTAAGCAAACAGAGTCCCCCTTCTTCAATTTTGCCAAATCAAGCACTGTGCGCAACCATATGATATCGAGAACACGCACGCACAGTGTTCGTTACGCAACGGCCAACACTAGGCGGTGCGGGAGGAAATGCTCGTCGTGAGAAAACGTACCCGCGCAAATGATAATTATCGTGTTTTAAAGAAATCAACCGGCGGTCTAAGCGCACGTACGCACATTCGCACGCGTGTTAAATTGGCTCCAACGCGCGAGACTTATGAATTTTAATGCGCGCGCACTGATATTTTATTATTATTAAAAAAAATAATAATAATAATAATAATAATAAACGGGTTCTCTTTTGCCGGTTAATTGGACCGTACGGAGTAATATCGTTAATTATATTGTTTTGTGCGTTCAACGTTGCCGCCGGCCCATTATGGTTCAATTTTAGCCGTACACGCGTTACACGCACAATCGTGCACACAACAAAACGGTTTATATATTTTTCCCTTATTCACACAACGTAGTCTCGTCGTTGTTACGATAAATCGATCACATGCAAACCGTTCGGCCAGAGTGTATGCCGTACGTAAATATTATAATACGTACGAGTACGTTCAAACGCGGTCTTATCGGTTTCACGTGCAATTACTTCCAAAGCTACACATGATCATCGTATTTTCACCGTTTTGCGCGCGTGCGTGTACCGAAAACACAACTCGTTATTCTAAACCGTTCACGCAGTGTCATAAAACAAAGTTTTACATTGTGTATTGCACTCGA